TAATAATAATAATAATAATAATAATAATAATAATAATAATAATAATTGAGTTTGGAAACTAAAGCAAAACAATTGATCATTACTGGATGCACTTTTTAACTAACGTTCATCTCTCCCTTGTGAGAACCTAAAAGTTGGCGAAACACTCTTATCAAATTAAAACTTTATTTATATGTTGTGTATCAAATTGACAAATCCCAACAATTTTCACTTCCCATTTTCCTCGTGATATCCGCGTGTTCTGCACAACTTTTTTTGCCTTTCTTTTTAGAAGTGTTTTCCACGTAACTAGTTGAAAGTGGTCAGTTGATCTTGACATTTTAAATTAGGACGAGCAAATTTGATATATCACGTGTCAAAATAAAAGGTTTATTAGTATTATACAAATTCAGAATGAGGAGTTAATTGATATACCTTTAATTTTGGGGACTTTTTTTTTGGTAATTTATGTAAAAATAAATTAATGATGGTCTCTTATTTTTCAGTGTTTAGATTTGTATCAAAATTTATATGTTTTATATATTTTTTTAATTTAATGTGATTTTGATTAGATTTAACGGTCAAAAATTGAGACTACTTATAGAGTAGATTACAAGAGAAACTCTCTTAATTTTATTAATTTTTTTAAATATATTTTAAACTTTTTATTTCAAACACAAATCAAGTTCAAAACCTTGTTCAAATATAGCTTTCAAATTTAAACATGGGTCTGACAAGGTGTTCTATTTTTTTTTCTTGAGATATCACATAAAAAGAAAAAAAGGAATCTTTCATTGTCTGAAAAGAATAATGGCCTCGTTCGCTTTGCGGATTCGAGTTTTCAATTTGAGCTAAGATGTGACAATTCTGATAGCTTTTAACTGTAGCAGAAAAAGTTATATATTATATTTTTTGAGAACTTTTAATTGTAGAAATCTAAAATTAAAAACTCAAATCAGTAAAATAAACGAGACAAATGATTTAAAGTTTTGCTAGTACATAATTATTAACTCGGTGCATTTTTGAACATCATTTATGAAACACATCAAGTCAAATAACATGAAACAAACAAAATGAAAAATACTTTACATCTCAATGGGATTTAAGTCTCGTTTGATTGTAGGGTTTAAATTAGTGTAAAAAGTTTAAACCAAGCTGATTTAAAAAGTGTGATTAAAACTTTGAGTTCAAATCATGAGAACTTAGGGAAGGATAAGTTTAGAAACCTTTTTGCTTTCGTGAATTTAAATGTCAAATTAAGAATTCAAACCACTTTACTATTTTATAAATAAACACTGATTTGATTTAAACTACTATCTTTCAACTAAATGAACCCTTAATTATGATGTTTACCGTTACTTAACAAACAATAATAAAAATTAGAAGATAGAAAAACATACATTATAAAATACTTTTTTTATTTTTATTTTTTGCTCCAGTCTAAATTTTTGGCATCTTTTTCTTCACTTAATACGAGCCCGTTTAGTTCGTTGATTCGAGTTTTTAATTCGAGTTGAGATGTGACTTTATGTGAGAGCTTTTTACTGTAGCAAAAAAGTTAGATGTGATTATTTGTGAGAGCTTTTTACTGTAGAAAAACTCAAATTCTAAACTCGAATCAGCGAAATGAACGAGACCTTAACTTTTTTTTTTTGTTTTTATTGTGTTTGGTTTTTGTTTTTTTTCTTGCCAACATAGTAAAAGTATATGCCTGCTCTCCCAATTAGAACATGCTAGATTAGTTGATTTCCACCAAGAAAATAAAATAAAAAATCTCCCCAACCTCTTCAAAGGCGCGTGAGACTACATTACAAACCCAGTTTCCAAATGTGATCTCCCTCTTCACGCGGTCGCACCGAGTCCCTCTCTCTCTCGCTCGTCTTTGGCATTTTTTTTTAAAGCTTTTATTAATTCCCTCGTTTTCTTCATTTTAGCTATGAACGAAATCCGAATGCAAAATTCTCTCCTCAGATTCCTACTTTCCTTGTCTTTTTCCCAACTCAACGACAACCTAAACTCTTTGTTCCTCAGAGTAATATACTCCTTGTTTCCATGGCGTTTTTATAAGCTTGTCATTAGTTTACAACATCTTCTTCTGTTATATCTATTTACTTCACACTACTTTTCTCTTATTAGCTGTTAATGAATTGAAAGATTTTTTTTTTTCCTTCCTTCCTTGCTTGTCATTATCACAGTCACGGTATATACATCAGACACCACAAGTATTTAAACCAACAACAAACCCACTTACCTAAAATATTCGGATAAGATCTTCCCAAAAAACTATTCCATTTTGCTTTTTTGCCTTTGTCTCTACGTGAGTTTTGTGCTAATACACTCATTAGTATGTGTCATCATGCAAAATATATAGTACATAATCATATCTCATAAAACGATTACTCCCATTTTTTCCTCTGTCGTTCTTGAGCCAGAAATCTGGGATTTTTTTTCTTGGTTGATTTTCACATTTCTGAGCTAGAAAAACGGTTTTTTGTTTTGTTTTGTTTTGTTTTGTTTTTTTTTTTTGTCCTTCGTCTTAGTAATTGATCAAGTAGTTTGAGGAAAACGGATAGTAGTTTTGTTGTCAATGGAGACCAAATTGTTTAATCAGAAAGCCGTGGTTTTCTCTGAGATAGTTCCTCAAATGGAAAGACTCTACGAGAATCAGCTTGGTCTTAATTTCTCTCAACGATTCTGTTCTTGCAAAGGTAACATTTTCTTTGCTTGTTTTTGGGTACTAAAACTGTGCTGCTTTTATGTTGATACTAGATTCAACTAAAGAGAAATGATGTTTGCGTTCAGGGATTTCTCCGAAGGCCTCGTATTCGAGCATTTCGAACAATAGTTATCAGTCGAAAGAAGCGAGTAAATTTGCATCAGAAAGTTATTTCCGCCGGATTAACGGAACAAACGGCGGGATCTCGAATCTGTGGTCCAGAGAAATCATGGTGCTTGATGCCATTGATGATGAGTATGGTGGGGTTGTTGTTGATCCTGAGAAATTGCCATCTAATCCGAATTCGTTTGCGTTTATTCTCCGTTCCTCTCTTTCTCATTGGAAAATGGAGGTAATTTTTTTTTCCCCACCTATGTTTTGGTTAGAGACATTATGATTTATTTTTAAGTGCTAATTGCTTATGTTTTGGTTAGAGACATTATGATTTATTTTTAAGTGCTAATTGCTTTTTTTTTTTTTGGTTAGGCATCAAATCAATCAAGCATCCTATGATCTTGTTAATGAAGCTTTAGTATCTCCTTAATCAGAAATGTAACGTAGATTCATTCTTAATTATCGCAGACGCAGAGTTAGCACATATGTATTTCACATTTGTATTGGTTTGTGCTATTTTTCCGTGACATGTAAGTGATATTTAAGGCAGCGGTTTAATTGTACCAGTACTTCGATTGTAGGGAAAGCAAGGAGTTTGGCTAAAGTTGCCAGTAGAAAGAGCTGATCTTGTTCCAATTGCTGTAAAGGCAAGTTTCTTGCCCTGTGCTTAATTCTCTAACTTAAAACTGTCCTGCTTTGACTTTGTATAAAACAGTGTCTTATTTTCACATAGTGATACTTACAATTACAAGCCATTTGGTTTCAGGAGGGCTTTGAATATCACCATGCTGAAAGAGGGTATGTGATGATGACATACTGGATTCCTGAAGGTCCTTCCATGCTTCCTGGTAATGCTTCACACCAAGTTGGGGTCGGCGGATTCGTCATCAATGAAAAAAATGAGGTACTTTTGCTTCTTGTTATAACGCATAGTAAAAAGGAAAAGAATAAATATTTCCAAGCTAGGACCAAGAGAGAAGAGATAGAAAGAAAAATAGAACTACGAGAGAGAAACCGGGAATTCTAGAGACAGAACAAGAACTCAAGAAGAGAAAAGTTAATAATTTGAATTCGTCAACGATAACTCTAGATAGCACTAACGGACAAACATAATCTTCAATTCAAAACTAAGTTAGATGAAACAATCTTAATGGATAGATACATAATTCAATTTCCTAGTATCTGTATCTTGTTCCACATCACTAGCCAATCTTCATTGATTTGAGAAAATGAGTCTTTTGCAACTTATCCCCTTTGGCGGCTTTAAGTTCTGGCTTTTCTCAAATATATTTGTTTTTCTAAGCACTGCTCTGATGTTACTTATATGGTGGAAGTTGCAGCTAAATATAACAGATCACATCTTCTGAGACCTCTTTCATGTCATCCTTTAGTCACCAAAAGTCATAATTTCCTCAACAACCGGGGAAAGACAAATTGATGATGATTCAACATCATGAGCTTCAAACTGTTCTGCATTACTTCATCTTGACATTTTAAATTTTTAGAAGCTAATAAGAACTATTTCACATTTTCTGCCAGTATAAAAAATCAATCAGAATTCACCACACACACGCACGCACGCTCGCACGCACGCACGGATGCTTAGCGTGCCAATGATGAAAATCTGCTGCCGACAGACATCATTTTTAGCTCTTGGTCAGAGTCATTCTGAATTTCTTTGTTGTTCTGTATCTCTCAAGAAAGAAGCCTATAATGTAAAAAATTGAAAAAGAAAAACTTACCAGAACAGTTTTCTTACATTCCCATGACTAACTAGCTCATGCCTCTTAAAGCCCTTTGCTTGAAACTTGAACTTAAATTATTTTATGGCTAACCGCAGGTTCTTGTAGTACAAGAGAAACATTGTGGTCCTGCATTCATTGATCTTTGGAAAATACCAACTGGATTTATTCTTGAGGTACTTATATTTGAGTCTGAACCAACTGGATTCCCTCAGATTTTCTAAATTCCCCATTAAAACCTTCGAAATTTTCTGTTCACATCTTTATCTAATTGTTTGTCCGCGTTATTGGTTTGACTTCAGTCAGAGGAGATCTTCACAGGAGTTGTGAGAGAAGTCAAGGAGGAAACTGGGGTGAGATTTAATGTTTCTTTGTTCCATTCCTTCAGGAAAATAAGATTTTGTCTTTCGAGACAGAACATAACACTTTATCTTACTATTTTATTCCAATAATTTGAATTTCTTTCACTTTTATTGCAGATTGATACAGAATTTATAGAAGTCATAGCATTCAGGTTGCGATAACATGTCGTATTTTATCTGAGCCTTGTTATTAAACTTTATGGTAGCAATGGCCATTGGTCACATTTAGTAATATGTTATCTCAAAAGTAAATACCATTTAAGGATTCGAACTAAAATGAAAAATGCTCGAGTGAGTTTTCTTCTGAACGACCATTCCATTTCCTAATAAATTTCTGCATCTTTTCTTTCCAGGCATGTTCACAATGTGGCTTTTGAAAAATCAGATTTATTCTTCATTTGCATGCTAAGACCACTTTCAACTCAGATAAAAGTTGATGATCTTGAAATTCAAGCAGCTAAGGTAAAAGAGCTACTTTTAGTTCTGGCTTTTGCCTATATGTTAAAAATTATTTACACTTGATGCTTATTTCAAAAAAGGATTTGTTCGGAAAGTAGAGAAAACTCAGGTACTCTGATGAAACAGTGCATTGTTTATAGTAACAAGCAATGAAAGAACCCCATAAGAGAACTTAGGAGCTAGTTTGAGGAAACTTAGGAAGTGCAACTACAGGAGTTCGAACTTGAAAGTTGAGACCACATGCTCTTGTCCACGTTAGTTTCTCGATTTTTTTGAGAGATTTAAGTCGATAATAGGTGAACCAAAAATATTATATACTATTTGGTTTTAAACAAATGATCTTATGGTTGATTGCTAGTAGATTAATAACTTAGTCATCTGGTATCAAGATTAATTCTGACTCGATAGCGTTTTTGTACACCAATTATGCAGTGGATGCCCTTAGTTGAGTTTGTGGAGCAACCCCTTATACAAGAAGACTGCATGTTCAAGAAAGTAATCGACATATGCATTGCCCGGCTAGGGAAGCGTTATTGTGGCTTATTTTCTCATCAATTGGTCTCAAAATTTGATGGCAAGCCTTCTACCTTGTACTACAATGTTATGGAGACACACAATTCCAACTGTATAGGCGAATAAAGCTCTTTGCGATTTCTCAAAAACCGAACAAAACGATCTCTTGGCGATCTTTAGCCTTCATGCCAGATGGATTCCTTTTGCTCTTCCCTGTGTTCTTTGGTTGAGACCAAGTGCTGATACATTCTTCTTCAACACCAGCAGTATTATTCGTACCTTCTTAACAAATACTTAACATGTAATTACAGTTATTTCTCTGTTGTATATAGTCTTCTCCACCTTTTTATGGCACAGATGCGCTATTTTTCTTTTGTACATGTCTCTTCTCGTATGTGTTTCTAAATAGGATCTTGTTGAACTTCCTTTAGAATCACAAACTTGTGCTATTTGACGTGACCGAGTATAAAATGGAAAATATTCTATTATTGTATTTGAGCTTCTTTGTGATCAACTTGCTTACATGACATAATCAGTAGTTATTGTTTTCTCAATGCTGAAAATTTGTGAAAATGTTTTGGCCGACAGTAAATAGTAGATTAATATGATTTATGATAAGTGTCGGTCCATTCCATTTGATAGCTCTAATTCAATGTATCTAGTGTAAAAAAAAAAAAAAAAATAAAGGGGCTAAATCCCGCATGTTTCTAGGTTTGCTGTGGATATGGAACCACTGGCTGGCGACTAATAAAAAAATAGATTTTTATACGGGAGTTTCTCCGGTGTTTCTTTTTTTTTGAGAGTATTAGTGTTTCTTTCTTTTTCAATCGTTAGATCTGGTCAAAATCACACCATATTAAAAAAATATGTAGAATAAACAGATTTGAATACAGATCTAAAAAATAAAAAACACCAATATTCTTAAAAAGAGAAAACACCAGAGAAAGTCCCCTTTTATCCTAGCGAAGTCCCCTTTTATCCTAGCAAGTTAGTTTGAAGCATATTGCATCAATGTTATTAGAAATGAGTTTGGTAAAAAGGCATTCATGTGGCCTCTTAAGCATACCAAATTTGAATCTAAATTAAACGGTGATACAAAGCAACAGAAAAAGCAGAGAATAATGTCTCTGTCCCTGAAATGGTTGCTCAGAATCTGAGTTGGGAAAGGTAACTTCTTTTCATTAGCCTCAGAAGACAATTACTTTCAGCTGTTAAATGAAATAAAAATAATAACCAAATAAGAAGAGAGCTACCATCGATGGGTTGATGTAGCGGTAAACATGTTTTTTTTTATTCTTCTTTTAGCATGCGCGTAAAATTTGATACTACACAGTCTCACTTTAAATTAGATTTTAATTTGACTAATATGTTGTGCTCGTTGGTTGTGTAGGATATGAATAAAAATTAGGCCCATCTTTTGAGTAGAATTAGATCAGATCCTTTCTATTCTATTAGTGATTCTGAAATTTCTAAAGTGATGAAAGGGAATGGAGGCATCCTTTCTATTCTATTGGTGATTCTGAAATTTCTATTAATGATTCTGTTTTTATTCAGAAAAATAGAACGTCTAAAAAATTTCCAAACTACGATATTTCTTTAGGTTGGTAAGAGCTCTCTATACATACTATTTTTCAATTTTGCCCACCGCTTAAATTTACACAAGCTATTGAGATTCCTAGCAAAGTCAAGTTCCACTAAACCATACCAAGCGCTACATTTTCTCTTCATAACACATCAATATACAATTTATCGACCCTAGTTGAAAGTGAAGTGTCGGTCTAATTAAGGTCATTCATGCATTCACAACTTCTTTAAAATATTGCCCGTTGTTTTCATCATGATCGTTGTAATCAATGATTAGCATAAATTCCATAATTTTAGTTGATGGAAAATATTGTATATTTTGAAATTACAATTAATGGAAAATAAAATGTACGTTTTTTTAAAAAATTTGCATTTAATTAAAAACTAATAAACAACTAATGACCCATTAAAAGGATAGACGCACGCCTGAGGCCTGAACACAGGAGAACACCTTGGCACACTAACAATGAGCACCTTGACACACTAACAATGAGCACACATAAAACTTGAATTGAAGAAACACCTCTCAACAAGATAGGCTTTCGAGCGCTAGAAGGACATATCGCCAAACCACACGAGGGGACATCTACATGGCATAGAAAAAAATTCTAGCCAGACTACGACAACCTTATCATGAGATATACAAAACGGCCTTAAGTTGATCACAAAAAACTAACAACAAATAGCAAAACAAACGAGGGTCGGGTGGGGAGACCACCATCCTTATTACAAACACAAAAATTACATAAAAAAATAGAAAAAACCTCTGACTACCGCCGTACGAAGCCTTCGGTGAAGGGCAACCGGCCAATGTGCTGTCAAGGGAGATAGCAGGCCAAGAGATCTCAGCCACCAGATGACAAACTCGTATGGAAATGAAGCCCATCTATTCGGCTTTCAAGCTTCAAGCCCGTGTAGATCTACCTAAAGAGAGCCACCACACCGTACACTGCTACTATTAACGAGAAGCTCACAATAAGGTGAGCTGAAGGAGTAAGTTTTTTGGCCGGGAGCCTGGCGACGCGCCCAGAGACTACTTCAAAACTCTGGCTGTCGTTCACTCTTTTTTGTCTGATTTGTGTGGATGAGGGAGAAAGTTGAAACCCGTAAAATGTATATTTCCAAATCAATTATGATATTATAAACCATAGTAGTGATAAAAAATCACACATGTGATAGCAATACTTATATTATTAGTGGCTGTGACAGCAATACCATATTATTAACGATGTAATATCATGTAACTGTTGTTCTGTCACAAGTTTTTTTGGTTGCAAAGTTGTCCTGTCACATTACCATATCCACATCTGGGTAATAACTATGATTAGTATTCATTACTATTAATCCCAACTGTATTCTAGGAAACGGAAAATGACCCTTTTTTTTAGTTCGAAGAAAAAGATATTTTTGATTTATCTGCACGTTTTTTTATTATAACAAAATTATACCCAAGTTGTGCTAAATATATATATATATATATATATCTTATTTTATCTTACATCTTACAATATATAAAAGTTCCAATCGAGACTCTGAGTTTCGTCCGCGAAGGGGGGGCAGACAAAACATTTCGTCCTAGTTTTATTTTATTTTATTTTAATATTGAAAAACATTTTTTTTTATTTTTTTAAAACATTTTTTAAATTTTTTTTTGCATCTCCTCTTCTTGTTTTTTTGTCCTCTTTTTCTTTTATTTACTTTTTTTAACCTCTCTTTTTTATTTTTTCTCTTACTCTTATTTAATTTTAGTATTATTTTAGTCTCTTATTTTTATTTTTATTTTTTAAAAATAATTAACAAAATAGGTCTATACCGTAGGGGACAAGACCTCCAAAAAAATTTTCATAATTAAAACTCCACCACGAGTTTTTCATTAGACCAAATAAAATTCGAGTCATTATACTCCAATAGCTTTTTTGGTCCCTTATATTTTTACCTCACTCTTTATTTAATCATATGATTTTTTTTTACAATTATACATTCTTGTTTTTTATATTTTTTCTTTTGCTTTTGTTTCACTTCCTATTTAATTGCACATGGCCACCGCTAGTATGTATACTAGTGGATTACTCGTGCATTTGCACGGGTACGTAATAGTATAATTAACAGTATGAGATGATGGTAAAATAATTCTTTTTCTAATTGTTTGAGGGTCAGTATCACCTTTAGTTATAGCATCTTGAATACCTTTATAAAATTCAGATATCAGATTATTTTGATTATGTCTAACAAAATCTAATCGATCTTCTTCGACGTAGCATAGGCATCTGTAATATATTGTTGAAATAATCTACCACTTTTAAACAATGTGTTTCCTTCATTTAAACGTTGGTGTAACTGAAAAGCATAAAATGATCTCATTGAAATTCGTTTTTTAGATGGTCTATTTCCTACAAATTCAAGAGTCCATCCTATGTTAGGTCTATATCCATCTTCACTATAAGAAAACAATAAAGGATACTGTAATGACATATAAGATGGATGGAGTTTATTAATTCTTTGTAGGTCACCGGTTTGATTACATATAATAATATCTCTTCCTTTTTCGTATTCACCAATATCACCAACAATTAATGTTCCAATATCTGTTGAGGTTGGAAGGTCATACTGTGTACCATCTTCATCTCGTCTACCTATTAATCTTAACTTCATTAATTGTGTTTTATCAGTGTTGTAGTAATTTTTAACAAATCTAAATAATTTAACTAATATATTTATTTCATCTAACATTATTATTAGTTTTTTAATAATAGTTTCATTTAAAGAATCTGAACTATTCACTGATGTAAAAATTGACATTCTATTCTAAATTTCATTTTCTGTATCATAAACATATAATTGTGCAAATTTTGGAGGATTATTATCAACTAGAAGTAAAGATCCCATTAAATGATGTGTTTGTCCACTAATCTTAAATATATAGGGTCCAAATGTTTCATTAATATTTGATTGAATGTTTACCCCAAATGATGTAAAAGAAAACATTGAATTATATGTTCGTATATTTTTCCTAAAATGTGTACTTAGACTTCCACCATAATAGTTTAATAAATCATCTAAAATTGATGGTGTTTTTCTTTTAGAAGGTAATTTTATTTTTTCATTCTGACAACATGAAGAATATTTATATGGATATTTTTCGGTTCGTTCATTATTCCAAAATGTTGCTCCACAGTGTTCACATGTCGACTCACAATCTCCCAGATCAATATAATTAAGATCACCTAATTTCATAGTTTTAAAAATAATTTTAAATTAGTTAGAAATATACGCTTTAAAAGTTTAGAAATAAAGATTTTAAGTTTAGTAATTACTTTCTTGAACCAGCACTGTTTTTTAGTGTTGAATTGTTGACTTTAAAGGGAGCTCAGTATTTGTGAAAGTTCCACAAAACTGTGTATGTTTAGTTCGACGTGTCCTTATAATTTCTGAACCTGAGTGATGCATTTCTTTCGGCCTTCTTTTTCTATTTTTGACACCTTCGGTTTCTTTTGATGAGGATAAATTTCATTGAGCTTTCTTTTCGTTTTCATTATCTGTAAATGATATCATAAACAATTATTATATAATAAATTGTATATCTATTAAATATAAATTAGTCTAAATGTTAAACATTGAATTATCATTTTATAAATTTTAATTTTAAATGCAGCGTAATTATTTATCTTACCTATTATAAGTAAAAAAAAAAAACCGTTTTGTTAAAATGTTTTGTATATTATTTATAAAGATAATTATTTAGTTTCATATTGTTATTTTTTTTATAATTGTAAATAACAATGCTTATCATATGTTAAAGTATATTTAATTTTAATTATGATATATTATTCACAATTAGATTATGTTTGAATAAAAATTTTATTAATTTGTATAA